CGGAACGGCAACATGTTGCCGTTCCGCCACGCTACCGTTATAGTGGTAGAAAGAGAGAGACAGTGGAATCAGCAATATCTACGGATCGTGGCTGGATCAACTAAGTGTGCAAATGTAAGTATATATATATATATACTTACATTTGTCTTTAATTCAAAGGAAATATAAATAATGAACGCATCACATTTAAAACAGTAATAAGTACGTACGTAATATTATCACATGGTAACAGCACGTATTATGGCAAAAATAAACATCGGCTGATTTGAAAAGATTTATTATAGTAATAATAGTAATCTCAGGACAATTCACACAGCTTCATCTAGACCCAAGTTAAGCTAGCTGAAGATTATGTTATGGGTACTAGACAACAGATATAAATACAAAGTTTTTTTTCGTAAATACATATATATTATCTATACATAGAAAACACCCAGACCGTTACAAACAATCATACTCATGAATACAAATGTTTGCAGCGTCCGAGGAATCGAACCCTCGACCACCAAGCAGGAATCAAAGCGGTGTGCTAGATAAATCGCTAGACTACCGACAACTAGCTGTACACCCGACTTCGTCCGCGTGGAATTTAACTTCTTATATTTTAGAAAAATAAAGTTAAATTCAACACGGACGAAATCCCGTGTACAGCTAGTCATCAATAAAAAAACACGTAGGTATCTCTAATATATTATACACTAGCTGTTCCCGCGACTTCGTCCACGTGGTTTTTAACTTTATTTTTCTAAAATAAAAGTAGCCTAAGTTACTCCTTATTACATCAGCTACCTGCCAAAAAAGTCCCGTCAAAATCGGTCCAGCCATTTCAGAGATTAGCCGGAACAAACAGACAGACAGACAAAAATTGTAAAATATGTTATTTTGGTGTATGTACCGTATTTATATTCATATGCAAGTAGTAAAAAACGGTTATTTCAATATTACAAACAACAGGCTTCAACATTCTCAAGTACCACAAAAAAGATGTTTTTATTAAAAACAAGGTGTTCCCGCGACTTCGTCCGCGTGGAATTTAACTTTATTTTTCTAAAATAAAAGTAACCTAAGTTACTCCTTATAAATCAGCTACCTGCCAAAAAAAAGTACCGTCAAAATCTGTATACCGAGGACGAAGTCGCTGAGGCCAGCTAGTCTGGCCCCAGCGACTTCGTCCGCGTGAAATTTTATTTTATTTTTCTAAAATAACAGTAGCGTAAGTTAACTCCTTATTACATCAGCTACTTGCCAAAAAAAGTCCCGTCAAAATCGGTCCAGCTATTTCAGAGATTAGCCGGAACAAACAGACAGACAGACAGACTGTACTATGCTATACTATGTATTGATTGATATACCTAAAATAAATATAATATCTGAGGTTTGAACAAAAACTCAAAGGGTAATTTATTTTGAAAAAGTATTTTGAAAATACCTATTTTGCTTTTAGTGTTATAGTACTTTAAGTGTTATGTTTTAAGTAACAATGTTTAATTATAATTAATACTACTGCACCAACACTCCGATCGTGCAAAAAAATTTGCTGTTTCATTATTTTTTAGTTCAATTAATGGTCTACCTAAGTCCTGGGCTAAGGGGGGAGAGTCATGACCCCCCATGACTCCCAAGACCTCCATGACGCTCCCCCTGGATCCGCCGTTACGTCTTCTCTTCATTCGCTCAGTAACGTTGTTACAAAAGGAAAAATTCCCGTCCAAAAAATAACAAGTATTGAGTTTTGATCTGGAGTCACGTTACTCCAGACTGATTTCAATAAATATTTAGATTAGATAGACTATTATTCTTGAAATACTAGCTAGACATTATTAAGTTACTGTAGCCATAATGTAGTAGCCCAAACGTGCCAATGAGGAAGCCCTTGGAAATGCTGCACCCTGATTGGCCCGTTTGAATTGGATCAAGAAGTGGTCGTATGCCAAAAAGGTGGATTTGTATAAAATCGTGTATAAATCGCTTAATTATTATTATTACTCGTCGTGACAGTTGTGGCTCAAAACGGATCAACATTTATATATGGTCAGCTGGCATTAGATCAACAAAAGGCCTCCGGATCAACAAGTGAAAATGGATCAACAAAAAACTACCTATACGGCACGTCTGAGCCACAAAGTGCCCAAGGGGATATTTATATATATATATATATATATATATATATATATATATATATATATTGGGTTTGCTGTACTGCCCAATATAACTCTTACCGCACGGCACATTTCAATTAAACACATTTCTATTCTGTTTCTCAGCTGTATCATTTCAAACTTCCTGGTTCTCGAAGAAGTAGGCAATAGCCCTAAACCCTAAAGGGATGTGTACTTACACACTTCCCTTAAAACATAAATAAAGGATATATGCTGATATAAGCCGTGCTAACATAAAAAAGATAACATTATAATTGATCTAAATTGTCATCTAGGAGTTGTATGGCGTTGCTTTCAAGTGAAGTTCACAGTACTATACTGAGCAAGTAATCACTACGTTAAAACTATACAATGAGTAATTTGGAATATTTAAAATAGGTACATCGTCAATGACCTTTTAATGCTAAAATATAGAGCATTCCAAGAACAGGCAGATATTGTATAAATGAGTCTCAGTTTTCACTATATATGTATCTATTTACTTGGCACAGAAGTTCAAAACTCGGTATCAATATTCGGTATGTTTATAAACTAAGCTGACATGACGATTTTGAAATAGTTTAACCTCCCATGGCCTCTAATAGTCATAGTTAGTTAGTCAGCAAATAATAGATATATGTGTCTCTTGATGTAATATTCCAAAGAAGACAACCTTGTCAAGGTAATAATTAAATTTATTGACTTGACCGACCGTCTATACTTTTAACAAATTTGTAAGTCCTTATAAGGATCTGGCGTTGAAGACGAGAAAGGGACATTGAACAAATATTTCAGGCGTCCAACGTCACATTGACGTTTACGTGGGCGGGTAGAGGCAGTTGCGACCGATAATGGCCAGTTAGCGCTGGTTTCTGTTGATGATGTTAGTCTGTGGCTAATGCAGTTCCATTAGTTCAACGGTTATGACACACGCTCTTCAACGAAACTTATTAGGATGTATTTGGATAGACTGATATCATAAAATTATTTAAGATAAAAAAATATACCTAGCGTGACAAAGCAGTAATTATTTTGGATTTTGGTGATTCGATACTTAGCTGTCACACCTCAATTATAAAATTATACAGTAAAATATCAAACTATTCTACTTGTAGAAGATGTACGATTTTTACTTATAATAATAGTACAATTTCTAATTTCCTTAGCATCTTGGCCTACTACTTTACTATATAAATGTTATAATATCGGTTCTAGCCGACGCGACAAAACTTTATTTCTTTGAAGGAAACGCCGCTAAGAAACGGCACCTGGGGGGAAAGGGGATTGATAATGTGGATTGATTATCTTATTGCTAGCAATGTACATGTATGTCAGGTTGACCTCCACGCAGTTCCCCCTGGAAACCAGTGATAAATGCTTGGTGAATTTGTCACGATGGGCTGACCAACTGACCTGACTTCATGTTCATCTTATCATCCTCCACTGGTGCCCCGCCAGCGTAAACCGTTAGCGCAGGCAGGTGCATCACCAATATCATCTACAAAAAAAAAACCAAACGGCAGCTTGCCATAGTAGTCAGACGATAATTGTATCTCTTCTGAAAATAATATTAGCATTAGACAGCCTGAGTGATGTGGTTTAGCACACCACCATATGGTCGGAGATTCGATAATAAAAATACAAACATACATTATGTATGTACCTATTTACAAAAAAATAATACTATTTATATCGGTTGTTACTATGGGTACTACCCATAGTACAAGCTCTGTTTAGGTAGGGACAAGTAAGGGGTATAATAATAAATATTCCAAAACACAGCTATATTATTTCATTGAAATTTGAAAAACTCAACAAGAATTCTTTCAGACTTATTGTTTTAAAGTCATATGTTTATCAATATAGAAAGTTAAAATTGGTATCCATTTAAGCAATTTTCAAATTTCTATTTCATTAAATATATAAGTAAAGAATTTTTTAAAGGTTTTTTGGCTCTGGTGTAGTTGTATTGGGTTTATCAAGTTAAAATTCTGCTTTTTTTATGCATCATGCTGTTGCATATCTATGAAAAAAGCAGAATTCAGAAAACATCAGACTATTGATAAGTCAAATCACCTGTGGAATAGAAAGGTTATAGCTTTGTACCTTCATACTGGCGTCGAATTAAGTAGGTCCATAACAATGAAGATGTAATAGTATAATCGATAATAATGCCCAGTATGAAAATATGTTACTAATCATTTACCTACACCTATTACTTACGTATCTTTATTTAGTCATGACATAAGATATATACAGTGAAGCTTGCTAAAGTAGGACCAGGATAAGTGGGAAACCTCTATTATTGAGAGTTGCAAACAGGTCCCAGTACTTTTTTTTATGAATAACCTGGTTAATTGATTGAAATGAGATTTGTATTCCAAGATTTTTTCTATGTTTACCTCAATAATTGGGATGAGTCCCAAGTAGAATAGAATAGTAGTAAACATAGAAAAAATCTTGGAATACAAATCTCATTTCAATCAATTAACCAGGTTATTCATAAAAAAAAGTACTGGGACTGGGAAAATCTTATCATAGCTCAATTCCCTGTATAAGTGAGACAAATAAATCAGATTGGGACAGGTTTTGACACTTTTGTTTACAAACATTTGAATGTCTTTCACCTGTGCTTTGTTTATCAGTAACATTTCAGGTTTTTCCACCTCTAAAAATGGAATAATTATACATTTCAATCTCTATAAATGAGACAACTATAATTCTATACCTGCTTAATTGAAAAACTGGATTAATAATTGGTCCAGAATCCTTGTTCTCTTGAGATCCCAAGTAACCAGGTTTCACTGTATATATCTTCATTATTATTAGCAAAATTGTGAATTATGAAATTAAAATGCCTAATGAATGTACAAGATTGTTTATTATAGTCCTGTACACATTTTACACTTAGCCTATAAGGTGGTCAGGCCACTTTACTTAAGTGGAATGAACCGGGAGCTGTGGGTGGCACCAATACCAGGCCTTCCGTGCTTCACAGGCTTGTATGTCACGGAGAACTCGCCAAGATAATGACCAATCATTTCTGGTTTGATTTCAACCTGAAATATATTATTATATCACATTAATAAGGCATCTTTTAGACCTTTTCACCTATTAGAAACACTCTTCAAATAACATTATTATTTAAAGTGTCTGTGTATTTTCTGTAAGATGATGGAATACAATGTATCACCTCTCTTAACTTCATGAAATTGTAAGAGGCATGTCTCAGAATCCACACCAAGTTGCCTAGCCAAAATAGTACATGTATCATATGACAAGACAAAAGATAGACTGTAAGGGTTATCTAGCAGCTAAGTAGCTTGCAAGCTGTGTTTCGTTTATAGGGTGTAGATTTGTTCGTGAATTTACTGGACAAGACGGATGATATCTTAGTCCTCTGGAATAACAACATATGAGTGGTGTTGCAGGTGATGTATGAACTATGATTCAGGTTAATCCTTAGCATCCATAAGGACAATCAGCTTGTTTGCAATTTGAATCACATAAAAAAACCCATGGCCAATAGTAGCATGATACGGATCCATGGTTATAGATCAGCACTTAAGCTGACAACAACACAAAACATGTATTGTTTTATAATATATACTGGTATATAGTACAAAATGGTTACTAGGCAATATGATACAGATCTAGACATATATGTAGTACAACTATATATTATTAGTCATGGGTCAGCAAATAAAGTTGAAATTTAGTAAAATAAAAAACAGTCTATTACATTTATATACCAAACTGAACAGACCTGGTTGAATGTTTTGCCATTATATATGCCAACAATGGAGCCCACCATCTCGGGGACTATGATCATGTTGCGGAGGTGAGTTTTAACAATCTCTGGCTTTTCATTTGGAGGAGCTTCCTTCTTAGCGCGGCGTAGTTTCTTGACAAGGGCCATAGGTTTACGTTTAAGTCCACGGGCAAATCGTCGTCGGGCACGAGCGTGCATCAACTCCATGAGTTGCTCACTGGAAATTGGTTACAATTACAAGGCTATTTTCAATTAAATTAACAAAAAGTTAAAACAGGAATATTTCTTAATGATAATGATACTAAAAGATAAGTAGCTAATGTTATCAATTATATTAAATTACAAAATAATATTGTAAACATGCATGTATCTGTTCTATAAAAGTTTACTTAATAGAATTTGGATCCCAAAATTACACTTATTTTTATCATAATAAAATTCTTACTTAGGCATATCAAGAAGTTGATCAAGATCAACTCCACGGAAGGTAAACTTCCTGAAGGTACGTTTCTTCTTAAGAGTTTCATCAACCTGAAACAGTAGAACATAATTGTACACTGTAAAAAATATGTATTTAGATGTTCAATACTATAATGTAAAAATCATTTCACATATTCGGTTTCTTGATTTCGGCTATGATGGTTACTATTTTATCAGATTAATACCAAAAAATATTATTAAACAAACCTCTGCCATGTTTCTAATTTATTTGACAGAATTCAAAAGATAGAAAAAACTTTTTTTTCAGTGACATAATTTTTTTAATGATTTTTACGACTCTGGATGGATTTTGGTACTGAAATTTTCCTAGTGTGACCAGATGAAAATTTGTCATTCTGCTGATGAAAACTTTGTATTATACTAATAATTAGTAACAATACAATTAGGTTAGCCGTTTGACACATAATATGATTACGAATACTCCTTTAAAACTTTCATAGGCTATAGTAATATTATTTCACTACCAATGAAAAAATTGTAAATACAAGAATTAGGAAATACCTAAATGGTACAAATTTCTTTAGTATTTAAATATTAAACAAATAAAAAGCAAATATTTTTGCAATAATGATTTGTTATTAAAAGGCTAACTCTAATTTAGTTATTGGTTACAATAATAGAATTAGAATCATGAGAAAACGCCTATACTGTGTTACCACTAGAATATAAATAATTTGTTGGTAGTAATGTTGCCAAGTATGCGAGAAAGCTACTATTCCCAATTTTAATTTTTTTGGTCTTCTAATATGTGCTGTGTACAAAGCACACATTTTTCCATTAAATAAATATATTTTACCTAGAGATTTTTTTAAAATATATAATGTTTTGTATTTCATACTGTTTTAGTTTTTGTTGTACATGTACTTAAATTTAATGTGGTAAAGCCACAAATTTTAATGTCGAGGCGCTAAATATTGTCCACCTTTATATTTTTTTCCATATTTATGAAAAAGTGCTAAAAACAGGAGACTTATTTATTTTATATCCTATTTTGCTCACCATATTTTGAAAGCAAATTCACCAGTGTCATAATTATTTCCTGTACTTTTTAAATGTAGTGTGTGCTGAGATGATAGAGAATCTGCTTATGTTATTATTCTTCAGAATACACTACATTTTCAATTCAAAATCAATAAGTAGAAAGAATATCAGGGGTTTTTCTTATGTTAGGTTAGTCTCTTAGGCTCAATACTACTTGTAAGGTACATCAATTTTGTGTCAGTGTAAAATATAAAAATAATCTCGCCACTCTATACTAACTAAAATATTATTTTGAAAGCAATACTTTCCTACATAAAAAAAAATTCAAAGCTGTAACTATAATAAAAAAACCCTACCAAGTTTACTTAGTACTGAACCTTATAAAAAGTGTTATTCCTGTATATGTATAAACAATTGTATATCTGTAAATGTATAATTAAGTTTGATTTACAAATTCATTTGTAGATCTTAATAGTTTAGATAATCTCTTGCCAATCAACTTAGGATACATTTTTGTTTTAAGTAAAAACTCTTTTGATTGATGTGTCACTGCACCATTTTCTAATTGATATTTGCATAATATATGTAGAGGCTGGATAAGTTGATCCCTATAAGAATAGTCTCCTTCAAGCTGTGATAGTGCCTCCGCAGCTGTCTCCAGAGTACTCAAGCATCCTTCTGTGGGCTGTGTCCTTATAATGTAGCTACTTGTAATATGGGTCAGTAGTTTCACTTGTTTGATGTTATGAAGTATTGGACTAGAAGTGTATATAGCTTTCGCCTGCGGCCATGTTCCATCAATCAGTATGAGATTATAAGATTCAGAGTCATTCTCCAAGTCTCTTATATCTATTGCTGTTTTACTTGGATATAACAAAACTGTATTTGGTTGATTTAGAATACTCTCTAAGTCTTCATGTCTTGGTTGAGGAAATTTCTTTCCTTTATATATAAGGCACTTATTTTGTGATAAACCTAATTGCAACATTGGTGCAGTTCGTAGACATCTCTTTTCTTCAGCAGGATGTTGTAATAATATAACTCTGCTTCGAGGGTTTAACCTTTCTGTAGGCAATGCAGAACACCAACAAACAACCATTGGTCTTCTGCAATTGTAAAATAATACTAATGATGATTTTAACATATAATTAGAATTTAGACATTTGATATGATTTGTTCTAAATTATATCAATATCAGTTTTGAAAATATTTTAAGTAGGCTGTTTCATACTTGTATTTTCTATCAAAATTAGATAATTAAAATTAAGACTCACATAATAAGAATCTTACATAGAAACAATTTAATAGTACTTTAACTATAATTAATTTCAGTCTTTCTTATACTAATTTCACAGCTAGTTGTTTACTATATATATTGTTATTTCAGAAGCGTTCTAATATAACTAACTATTACTAACAGAGTAATACTTACTTGCAGTTTGTACAAACTTCGCGCATCACAGGTGGATCTGGTGGTATGTTTGCTAAGTCTTCCCATGCTTGCAACTCGTCCATTAAATAATTAAATAATATTTAATTAAACAATTGTTAAATATTTTGTATCGTACAAATATATTGCTATATTTCTTAATTCTTATGTGGTTACTAATGGGATACTTCACACTATTAGTTTATTTTAAAGTTTAAACTTATTATAAAAATACTTCAAATTCAAACTTTCTTCTCTAAAATTACCAGGTTGAACAAAATTAGAAAAGGAAATTAGGAAAATAAATATATTTTGTATTTCTCAAAAATGGACGAAAATACAAGAAATTAAAATAAATTTATATCATTTTTTTAGAGATAGATTACAAATACAATACATATAAGTGTAAAAGTAATGAAAGATTGAATGACAACCACATAGAAAATTTATACACATGAATTATGACAGGGTGATGTATTTATTGATAATCATAGTGATTATTTGCTCAGTGTTTGTTGAAGTTTCGTTTTAAGAGGAAAAAACTCTATATAAATACTGAAACAAACAGTTTTCTATAAAATACTAAATTTGGTATACTGGAAAACTTTATTATATAATATTAAATAAGAAACCATATCATAACATAAATTCCACCAACATACGCGGACTATGTCAATCTTTTAATAAGGGTAAACAAGCATACTTATAAATAATGATCGCGTCAAACTTAAGTATATACTTAGGATATAGAAAAATGAAATTGTACCGTACTGAAATGAAATTGTAACATTCAACTGTAAATTGGCGGTCAGGCTCATCAGGCTCATCTACAAACAATGTACATGAGCGATGGGCACTTACGTCTTTGATTAATTATGACAGTATGTTTTCCTGAATAAATCATCTTTATATCAATTTTTTGTTCCGTTTAAACCACCTCGGCCGTTTTTTAAAGCAATACTGTATAATATATACCACTAATACAATAGTACCGACAGACCATCAGACCGACTTGGTACGGACTCTTGGAGTAAATGAGCCGATCTCCTGATTGGCGGTTGCACAATATTATATCCAATTGGCTCTTGCATCTTATTATGGCATTTTATCAATTTAATATAATATGGACCCTTAAAGAATATATGAAGTCGTGTCGTGTGGAGACAAACTAATTCAAAATTATTCATTTTTTATCTGTGAATTATGAATTGTTGAATTTGTTGAGTTGTTACCTGTAGAAATATAGATGGCGATGTCACTAATGTTTCTAATGTTTTTTTATTCTTGTTCGTTTGTTTTTAGAAGTTCTATTTCACATTGAATATTAGTAAGTATTGAAAGTCCTTGATTTGCTGCCTACTTCTAAGTCCAGTAATAGTATTTTTTTATAATAAATTATATTGTATATGATGTGAAACGACGCCATTTTGCGCCGCAATTCATACATATACAACATGTGAAAATAATAAATGTTGTACATCCCATTCTTTTTCTGTCATAGTATCATATGTGGAAAAGAGAAAGCCTCTAAATTCCCTGACTTTCTCCCTAGGTATGTATATGTATACATTGAGAATTTTTATAGGAACGATTTGTAAACATGGAAGCCAAGTGTTATGCTGTAGTTTAAAGTAGAATTACGACATAACTTTTGATACATTTCCGTGTTTTTATCTGGTTAGTAAGATTTTATTTTACTATTATTCAAAATGTTATTTATAATTTGTTTTGCAAGTTGAAATTTAGTATGAATTTGTAAACGTATGCACTTATTTGGCGCCAATGCCCTTAAAAACCGTTATACATAGTAGTAATCACATCTAAAAACGTGAAATCTGATATTTTAATAGATTGCCATGTATTTATGATAAGCAATAACGTTTTTGCGAAGTAGAACCATCGATGGTAGAATTGTCCTGCTTCGTGATAGAAACTGGTCTTACCAAGTGTCGTCAGATCTGTCAATTTAATAAATTGCTCCCGACTGTAATTAGATATTTTCAAATTGTTTGTTACCTAAGTAACTATTGTAGATTATAATTTGTGTTATTGCTTTTCAGTCTGCTATGATCACAAATAACTCGTAATTGAAATGAAGAAGCCTACACTTTCGTATTTGGGAACATCTTGACCAACCTTGAAGTGAGTACTTTACATATATTCGTATCACTTTACAACGCCATTTCACTAAATTTGCTAATATGTAGTGGATTATATTATGTTTAATATATTATACTACTAATGTAATAAGCAATGTATAAGATTATCAAGTTGAAATCAATCACTTGTAGAAACTAAATGTACCAATGCATTTGTAAGTAGTCGTTTTTTCTGCTTGGCTAGTTCAAGGCCATATCAAGTTCAAGATTCATATTACAAGGTTATTCTTTATGTAATTTGTTGTTATAAATTACTTTTTTATATATATTTCAGCAATGGGCACGGAGTTGCCAAAAACCCATGATTCAAGTGGTACAGATTCAAACAGTGACTCTGAGGTTAGTATTATTTTTATTTTACTTTTCATGAACATACTCTTAAAATCTCATTTTTTTTATTACTAAACATTTAAGCAACAATGTTGATAGAACTATTAAGACAAGTAGATTGTATTTTAAATAATAGTAAAAATTGCTTTTTTATACATAAATAATTAAAACATTATACACTAAAGCACAGTTCTGTATATAATGTTAGCTATATAATTGTTTTCTTTTTGTATTAAAAGCTTTAGCATTATTGGACTGTGTTGTTATTTTTTTCATTTGAATGACTGAAAAATCCTTGTATATGTTAAAATTTATTATTGGAGGTTTAATTGTTCTATGAAATATCCTTATTCATCTGAAACAAACTGATAGAACACTAACACAAATTCAATGGGTTTGTTAGTATTTTTCTTTATCCAGTACTTATTAATTTACTATGTATTTTATGAATAACTAATAATATAGACTAATAAAGACATTAGTAGTGTAAAGTATACAATTTATATTTATATATTATTTTGATATTCATTTACAGAATAGCAGCACAAGTGATTCATCTGGGAGCAATTGGGAGTGCTCAAGCAACAAGCAGAGTTCAGTGCGTAAATCACATTTCTCAGTCACCTCTTGTGACACTGGTTTAAAACTCAAAATAGCTGCTATTCCAAGAAAAGTCACTCCTAAGAAAGCAGGTATAAAGCCAACAGGTAAAAAGAAACCTGCAGAAGCTACGACAAAAGCCGTAAAGTCAAAAGAGTTATCCACATCAAAAAAGAAAGGCAAAACTCAGTTGTCTGATACTACTTCCAGCTCTGAATCCTGTAAGTGTTCATCGGACTCATCAAGCGAGGATGACTTACCTTTGAAGGCTGTATCGAAGACTCTACCGCCTAAATCTTCACCACTGAAGCCTTCAGTGAAAAATACAAAAAGTAACAAAAGTGAAAGTGATGATGATAAGCGAAGTGATAAAGACAATGTATCAAAGACAAATAAAGACAAACAATGTGCTAAGACTAGTAATGTGAAAAAGACTAAAAGTGATGATAATACTCCAGTGAAAAAGGGACGCGGGCGTCCACGAACTAAGGTAAGTACTATTATTAATATAACTATTACTGCCTAGAAGAGACCATTGATGTTGCTTGGTCTGCATTTAGAATTAACGGTATAGTAATAAAAAGATTATTTTAAAGAAAGTATTACATATTATGTAATACTTTCATTAAAATAATCTCTTCTCTAATTATGACCATGGATATAAGGGCAGAGTAAGGCCAAATATGAAATGGACTGTGACTGTGTGAAAGATGATATGGCAAGAAAAGTAGTAAATAACAAGATAACTATGAACAGGCATGAATGAAAGAGAAAAACATACTATGCCAACTCGAAATGAAAGGGATAAGGATGAAGCTGATGTTAACTGTAACATTTCAGAGTTGTATATATAAGCTAAGCAGTTAGTTTTGTAATTAACCAAACATACTCACTGAAAATGTTAATGTATTTATGGTAGAGAACAGTCAACTTCCAAAATTTAATGTTTCAAATAGAATCAACTATGTTACATAATTATAACTAATTTGAACATGTACTGTATGTATGTAGGTAAGAATGATTCATTAAAATATCCTTTTATAGCAAAAGGCACAAAAATTACTTTTGGATGGTAGGATATTATATATGAATTACTGATATTTTAGAATCTTTGTAAACTCATACATACACAATCTTGTATAAACATATATTATTTTAAATTTTTATTAGATACGGGTATTACTTATTTTATATACATATGTATAAATAAATACCTTGTTAGGGATATATATCCATTTAAGGTGCATTTATATGAATATTATGAAGATGCAGTTTTACTTAAGTATAGTAAAACTAGCTGTGCCATTGACTTTGTCTGTGTGGAATAGTGGTAATAGCATTAAATATATAATAATCTAACCCAAAAAAGCCAAAGAAAAAATATTTATCAATCCATCTTCAGAAATGGTAAATTTCCATACAAAAGTTTGTATCTCCTATCCCCTTAAAAGTAAAACTTTTATAAACTTCGAATCACTTATTTATTTATATTCAATCAATAGTCTAATAATATATTTAAGCTTCTAGCTCTAAAAATGATGACACTTACATACAATTTTTTATTCCCCTTACAACCTATGTCCTTTCTTAGTATACTATCTGTGTATCAAATATCATTTAAATGGGTTCAGTAGTATGTATATCAAACAATACATAAATTTATTATATGTTGTGTTTAAAACACGTTATAATTAGATGTACAAAACACTGTTGTTGTGAAAAAACTAGGGTTTCGCTTTCACAGCTACAAAATAAGCCTTCCCTCTAATGTTGCAAAATTTATGTGGATCGCATTAACACTAAGACACACTACATATATTTGATAATATGGTAATATTCATAGCGTTATTTATATGTAGGACAGACATATGCATATAAGCAGTTTCGTAATGTGAAAAGTATGAATGGGATATTAGCGTCATATTATCTTATGCCTTTTCACATATGAAATCACTTAACCCAGAGTTCCAGTGTTTGTATTAAATCTATACCCAGTACATTGACCAGAAAAAAGGTAGGTCATAATGCTTGAAATAGAAATTATCTTTATTCAAATAAATTCATAATAAGCACTTTTGAATAGTCATATTTTGATTCTACCACTCATTCGGAATGCAGATTCATCACAAGAAGAATGAGTAAGAAATTTGTGTGTTACTCTTTTGAATAGATGTTTTTTTTATATAAATAATTATAAAAATAAAAATATTCACTTGAAAATATACACCATTTTTATACTTGAAACTAATGGTATCCGCAACTTCGTGCTTTAGCACTTCTACACTTATAACTATTAATGATAAATAACACAGTCAATAAGACAATATATTCTGAATATGCGTGAAGCGGAAGTTGGCCTTCAGCCGGTCCATAAGTACTTCCACGGGTTTGGAGTGCCACCTGCACTCGCCCCCTATCGTCCATGAAGCTGTAAAGGCCAGCTGCGGCCTTAGATTAGTTCGAAAAAACAAAAACATATTTTGACAACTATTATTTTATATTAAAAATCTAATTAATACGTCATAGTTGACGTATTGGAATGACTCATAAAATTTATTATTTAATACCTTTTTTAGGTAATTCCTACAACCGATTTTATGTAAAAACTTAAGACACAAACAGATTAACAGATAATTTTATGATTTTAATGTAAGTGTGCATTATTAGGTATTGAACGTTGTTGAGGGCGGGCTTGCGGATGGGAGCAGTTAATTTTTTTGTGTAGGTTCGTTTCTGATTTGAATGCATCTGTAATACCTGTATAATCGTATAAGTATAAAGGCGGAATTGTCGCGGTAGTGTGCTTACGCTTAAAATATATTACTATATACTATGAAAATTCTATCAATGCGCTGGCACTCTGGGGAATAAGGTCCATGCACACGTCTTTTGAAAAAGTCTCCTTGGTTGAAATAGAATTCGATCAGAAATAGCATCATGGTGTATACAACCAGAATTTAAATAATGTTTTTTTTCTTCTAATCTATAGTTCCTGAAGAAAGACTTATTGTTATTTGTTAAGTGCAGTCGGTAAACACATATTATTAAAAAAAATTAGACATATAAACATTTTCTGACCAGACTAGTTTTAAGAAATTATCGAGAATATAACGACACTTGATTGAAGCCAGCGAAATTTTAATCCGTTAAAACTGTAATCTGTATTTATCTCATATATCTTATAGAATTGTATATAAAATTTAATAAATACTTATACCTCTTAATGTACTGTCTGTTAACTTCTTTTTTATATAAAAGAAAATACAAAAGTATCCTTAGTTAGTCTCTATAACAATTGCTATATGCGGGTGAAAGTTCCGTCAAAATTGGTCCAACCATTTCAGAGTTTAACAAGAACAAACAAACAGACAGATATTTTTTTAAATTAATGTTTTGATTGTAATAACCATATATATTTTCATATTCATTCAGAGAGAAGCTGTTAATTTGAAATAACAAACAGATTTAAAATTTTCTCGGTACCATGAATGGTCATCTATTTTGAAGCGTCTATCGCTATAATTGCATATATCAGATTACATATATTTGCAAATTACACTATACATCTATTTAAAACGTATCCATTGCCAAACCCGAAATAACTTCATACAATAATTACTAACCTATTGAACTTTAATAATATCTATTGAGCTACAACCCTAATGCCGAACTGTATACTGTAAGTACAATAGTGAAGGTCAATGAGATCTCAACCAAATTATTTTTTTTATGCCGAAACGATCACGTGACTCCACGTTTATACGTTTAACTATACACAGAGCTATTGGTACAAATAAATCATTAAATATTGTGTACGACGATACCTATCGTTTCCATTTGCTATCTGGCGGCCAGTTTTTATTCAATGTGGTGACGCTGGTTTTGAAACGTGTTATTCTTTCCCGACTTAATTTACCCACGAAATACTCGGGCGTCTTAAAACATGCTCTCACATATGGGAACAATAAGAGCAGATGTGTCATGGTAATATATACATATTACATTTACAACATGTTTAGTTTCCTTAATATTTAATTAAATACATAATAGTTTTATAATGAAATATATAAGATACATAAGTAGCAGAGTTTTACGTGACTCGTCAAAATCGTCGCATTCAAAAATAAGTATCTACTGAGACTCTTATTTTTGAATGCAGTGTAATAGGAATTAACGCAATACCTCAAAATAGCTTGTTTAGAATCAGCTACTCGTTATTTTTAGTATTGAAATATGATCCTTGTTAATTGAAAACGGTGTCATAATGTTTAATCTATACATCTATACATATAAATAAAATTGTAGTGTCTGTTTCTAATATTGGAATAACCGTTTTTTACTACATGCATATGAATATAAATACGTTACATACATCAAAATAACATGTTTTACAATTTTTGTCTGTCTGTTTGTTTCGGCTAATCTCTGAAATGGATGTACCGATTTTGACGTGACTTTTTTGTCAGTTAGCTGATGTAATGTAACTTAGGCTACATTTTTTTTTTCATTTTAGAAAAATAAAGTTAAGTTTCATGCGGACAAATCGCGGGAACAGCTAGTACTTAATAAAAACAGCCCTTGCTGCAACACTAACTTACAACTTATACTTGATGGCCTCGGTGGTTACACCCGCCTTACATTAAATGGTCGCGGGTTCGACTGCTCATACGATGCAAACATTTGTATTTATGGGTAGGGTTGGTTGTATCGGTTTCTGTGTAGTAGTATTTACAAAAATGATATGTATATATATATAATTATATATATAATAGAAAATGTTATGTGCCTTGCTTTTTTACTTTGGTTATTAGAATCTGTATTACTAGGTAATTTTAATATAACCAATTATTTAGGTAAATGTATACACATTATCGCTGGTATCGCCCCTGTTTTAAAAAGCTGCCAGCTATGTGAACGCCGCGCAGTGTGAACCATATAAACAACATAACAAACAACTTAGGGAATCTCTTTGTCGACTTAATCTAATCCAGTTCTTTTCATGGGGCGCTCTTTTATCTTGTTTACCACACACCCCTCGTATGAATAAGTAGTTACTATTTTGTTGAGCAATAATACTCTGTAATTTATTAAATATCGTGGGTATATCAATGCGCAGATGTATCATGTATTTAAGTAGCCGTGTTGAATTATAAATTGAAGATTAACTCATCCTATCGCATTGACGCGGCATTAGTCGACAATTTGTAATTGTTTTCACACTTTTGTTGGAAATGTTGCGATCTTTATGAATATTGGAAAATATTTATCTTATTTTAAGTTTCGATAACGTAAGTTAATGATAATTATTTATCACATCACCATCAAGTGAATTTGTATGCGTAATATCCAGAAGAAATCACGTTTTGTTTACTTTAAGAGAGATCATACATGAAAGTAGATAGGTATTCTTTGTGGGCGGTATAACTGTTCTGTTATTCGGTATTTAGAATGATTGATTGTCTTTTGCGTCTCGATTGCTTTTGTTACTCA